TTCACAGTGCTGGTGGTTTCTCTTGCTGTGCAGAAGCTTTTTAATAAGAAGAGATCCCACTTGTTGATTGTTTGTGCTAGTTCACGGGCAAGTGAGGTTTTTGAACAGGTCAAATTTTTTAATGCCAAGTATTTGGAATTTGGAATTGAAATCAAATGGAGAATCACTGTAGCTAATCTCATTTAATCACTGTAGCTAATTCCCGTGAACTATAGTTGAGACTTCCAATGCTGATTATGTTCCTGTTCCTCTTCAGCCTTGTTAAACTCTTGCTGGGTTCTTGTTTTTGTTTTTACCTTAGATTAGAAAATAAAATTGAAAAGATGTGTTGGTAGCTTTCAAAAATAATTTTAATTTAAATCTTAGGAATTTTTTTTTCCAAAAAAACTGTTTCTAGGTAGCCTATTGTACAAAGTGGCATTTGACATTTAGGTTAAATTTAAGTAAAAGCAGTGAGTTTTCAATAAGTGGAAATGGAAAGGGCTTAAGAGGAGAGGGTAATGTATGACGTGTTTTTTAGGGAAGATTTAAATATGGCACTTCCTTTAAATTTTTTCTGTTGAGGTATGCTTACTCCAGTGATTCTCAGTGGGACTCCATTGGCCACCTCCTTAGAGTGCTTTTTGGAAAACTGTGAGGGTGTTTTGATTGCCACAGTGACTGGGGATGGTACTAGCAGATGTCCTATGATATGTGGAATAGTCCAACTGGATGAACATTTGTTTTCCCCTCTCCACTATGAGTTGGGTCTCTCCCCAGGCTAATCCTTCTACAGATGTGTATAGTTTTGTAATACATACTAATACTGAAAAATCTGAAATATTAAAAAGCTTAAGTTAGAAGGTTTTTGTTAAACTTTTTTTGTTGCATAATAAAATAGCATAAGTTTAGCTGCTTGAAACAACACTCGTCTAATAGCTTGCAGTTCTGTAAGTCAGAAGCTGGGCTTTGATGGGTTTTCTGTTCAGGATCTCACAAGAATGAGGTAAAAGTGTCAGCCAAGCTGGCTGTTTTTTTGTTTGTTTTACAACAAAGCCATTTATTTGTGCTCAGTGTTTGAGACTCTGTACATGCTGCACAAATTTAATTTTACATAATCTGTTACTCTCTTAAAACTTAAACTTTGAGCTGCTAGACTTTTACTTCCCTAGAACATAACAAGCTGGCTGGTTTTTAGGGATGCTCTAGAGAAATAATCTGCTTGCAAACTATGGATTATTGGCAGAATCCATTTCCTTGTAGTTGATGATCTGAGATATGTATTTGGTTGCTAGTTGTTGGCTAGAGGTCCCTCCCAGCTCCCGGGAGTTATTGTCTAGTCATTGTACTTGGGCTCCCTCATCCATTCTTTGGACAGAAATTGTATATTGAATGCTTTTTGTTCTTTGAATATCTCTGACTTCCTCTTCTGCCACTTACCAGAGAAGATTCAACTTTTAAAGTGCCCTCTTGGTTGGGTCAGAAACATTTACATAATCTCTGAAGCTTAAAATCAGTTGATTGAGATTAATTACATTTATGAAATACCTGCTCTACCCTACCTAGATCATTGTTTGATTGAATAACCAAAGAACAATGATCTTGGGGATCATCTTTAGATTTCTGCCTACTGCTGTTGGTATAAAGAAAGAAGCTTAAGTGAAGTACATTTTCTCAAAATAATTTATTCACCCTGCACATTCTGTTCTGAAAGTATTAAAAGGTTTCCACTTGCATACTTAGTTGAAAAGGACTTCAGTGTGTGAGTGTTATTCCTACAAAAGCAGTGAGACTGATTGAAAATATGTGACAGGAGATTTGAGATTCCTGATTAGACTTCATTAAATTAGTGGAGACTCTTGAAGACTGAAATCTCATTGGATTTCTTTAATATAGACTACTCTAATAATATTTTGTGTTATTGTCTCTGTGTTTGTATAAGAAATCTTGGTAATGAATTTAAAATTTTATTTTGAGATAGCTGTAACTTTTCATTTTATCATAAAAATATCCCCAATCTATTACACAACTGCATCTTCTGTTTATTCTTACATTGTTTAAAGAATAAAGTCACCAAGGTCTTTTTACAGATGAGTCACTGGTTGCCTATACCTCCATAGCATTTCAACAGAACAATAGGTTTTCTGTGAACTGTCTTCTTATTACACATCAGGCATAGTGTAGTATCTGACACTGCTCTAAATAGCACCTCACTCATTTGAGATAATACTGTTCTTTAGTTTTTCTACTTTGTTACATTTCCATTATTACATATCTTAGGACTTTTGTGTTCTAGTGTTAGTCCATCCCTCTGCTCTTTTATTCTCCTGTATTTGTCCAGAGATGCTTCTTTTTCTTTTTCTTTCTTTTTATTGATTGATTGATTGATTGCAGTATTGGGGCTCAAACACAGGACTTTTACACTGAGCTACATCCCCAGCTCTTTTTTTATATTTTATTTTGGGACAGTGTCTTGCTAAGTTGCCCAGGCTAGGCTTGAACCTGTGATTATAAACATGGGCTCAATAATTTTATTTTTAAATCCAGATTTATTTATCATAAATTGATATGTACATCTGGCTAGTTCATTATGTCTATATGACTCCAAACATCTGCATTTTGAAATACATATTTTAAAATACAAATTATTTTTATTTATATATTAAGACATTTTAAAAAATTTGTGTAGATAGGTCATATCATCTAGGAGTTTCATTTTAGAGTGGTAAAGAGGAATTTTAAAATATGTGTGATTAAGAAAGGAAGGTTTAGTCTGATAGGGCTCAGATCTGCTGTAGCCCTGAACTCCTGTCAGGCATTTCTGTAGTGTCCCATCAGCAGTCAGCACCCTGGATGTCTTGCTATATGCATGAATAGAATAGGTTCCACCATCTGTCTTCTAGTCTCAAAGGATACTCTTCATTCCTGTCTTTCATTCCTCATTTGAATCTAAATATATCATTTAGTTTTCCTCAACTTTGCAGCAAGAGGTTCAGATTGCAATGTTCACACATACAAGGTTCTTTAGCAGTGTTGTCTTTTGAAAAAGGCCGTACAGTTTGCAGCATGATAGTTCTTTGTTTTCTTCTCAGTTACCAGTAAATTTGTGGAGCTTGCTTTTTAAACCCAAGCTGTCTCCCCCCTTCCTTGACCAAAAACGAAAATTTAGTGAAATAATAGTTTTTTAGTATGGAGTATAGTCAGGCATGTTTCAGATAAATCTGGTCAAGTTCTGTCCTCTCTAGATGTTTCATAACTATGTAGCAATAGAAAAGGAATGAAGTAATATAGAAAAAAACCCAGTAAAAATAAAAGCTAGGTTCTTGATCCTAGCCATCATTTTCTACCTTGAGCACATTGTGCAGCTTCTCTGAGTCTTTGTTTTGCACATCAACAAGCAGAGATACAGTATCTGTCCTGCCTATCTGGCAGGGTTATTGTTAGGATCAAACAATACAGTGACTGCTAAAGAAGTGTTGTAAAAATTTTATAAAGCACTACAATAGCTGTTAGGTCTTACCACCTAGAAAAACTTGGTCATCAAATCAGTCTGAGATGACTACAGATTATTTTTCTTTTCCATTGCCAGAGCTAAAGCCATAGTATATAAAGAATGAGTTGGAAAGAGACTTATAAGAACTAAACTGACTAGTTGGGTGGCCATTGAAATAGAGTGGAGATGGAAGTAAAGTATGTATTTCAATATGCAAATGTTTGGGAGTATAGAGACATAATAAAGTAGCCAAGTGTAAATGTCAGTTTATGATAAATATAGATTTGAAAATAAAATCACTGAGCCACCTACTAGAAATAAGAATGAAGACTAGCCAGGTATGGTGGCACACGCTTATAATCCCAGTACTCTGAGGCTGAAGTAAAAGGATCGCAAATTTGAGCCTGGCCTGGGCAACTTGGTGGCTTAGTGAGGTCCTTTTTCAAAATAAAAAATAAAGGGCTAAAGATGTAGCTTAGTGCAAAGGCCTTGGGTTCAATAGTAATGCAAAAGGCAAGTGTGGTGGGCAGAAGTAACAGCAGGACTTGAAAATAAGTTGGACTTGGGGGTGAGGAGATTTTGAACCCAGCAGACTAGGAGTGGATGATCACTAAGCAGAGCAGGTAAAAAGGAAGTAAGGGAAGCACTTCCCACGGAGACCAGCCATATTTGAACTGCTGCTGGTGCATGAGGTGGATATGTCCATGGCAGTTTGGAATATAGCCCTGGAGCTTGAAGACGCAGGATTTGGAATCAGACCAGGGAGCACCTGTGCAATGAGATCATGTGTAATGAAAGACAGGGACTAAAGGTAGAGCCTTATAGAATTGATGTCTATGGGCCAGGGATTTAGCTCAGTGGTGCTGCCACCTGCCTCAAAAGCTCAAAGTCCTGGGTTCAATCCCTGGTACCAGAAAAAAAAAAGAATTGGTGTTTGCACTGAAGGGCCTGCCCAGTGAGAGGAGCTACACAGGCTCTTCTGATGGCATGTTCCATAGTTGGACAATTGTGTTCTGCAGAGCATGGGACACAGAAGATGTTCTGTGCTTACTGCTCTTGTGAGTTTGTATATCAAAAAAGAGGGCTTTGATACCGACAAATGACTAAGCGAATGGCATGTTCCTTAGGACATCTCCCAAAGACACACAAACTAAAAACAAGCAAACAAAAACCTGAGCAAGAGCTAACATTTTGTTAAATAGTCCATAGCCAAGTTTAAAAATGGAGTATTTGTTTTTCAAACACATTAATGCTAGTAGCCACTGTTGTAGTCTTACTGAAATAATAATTTATATGTATGATGCTATCATACTATTGCTCCTTATTAATTCTCCCTCCCCCTTTTTTTCTCTCTTAGATTTTACATTGTGCTATTGGTAAGTATAGAATTTCTCCCTACTTTGTAAAATGAATTGTCTTTTTTTAAAATCGTAGGTGAAAGCTTGATTCTTATGAAATATTGAAATATTGAAAAAAAAGCAATATTGAAAAGTTAAAACATTTCATTATGTGTATAAAATTGTTCAAATTGGAATGGCTTTTGCTTTCCTAAATCATAGATACTATTTAGATGTTATCACCGAACACTGTCAGCTCTTTTTCCTTTCACTACAAAAGAGGCATTTCACCTCTGCACAAGGGTAATAGAGAAACATGTATTTGTAAAAATATGACTTGAGCCATGGTGCCTGGGCTATGTTGGAAAGCCCTCTCTGTGTTCTCTCTTTTTTTTTTTTTTGGTACTGGGGATCAAACTCAGGACCTTGTGCTTTTGAGGCAGGCGGCAGAACCACTGAGCTAAATCCCCTGCCCTATATTCTTTTTTTATCCTTAAAATAGAAGCATTATGTCTATTGCCTATGTGAGAGTATAAAGAGTTTGTAACACAAATGTAAGGAATGTCTGCTAAAGCAGATGCAGTATGTTTTTCTTTTTGTAGGTTGGGAAGAGTCATCACATTTTGCCCTGGAACTGAGGCATAGCTTCTAGTATGGACAGATTGACTACACCCTTCTAATTAAATAAAATTTAGTTCTGGCACCAGGCATGGTGGTGCATGCCTGTAATTCCAGCTACTCAGGAGTTTGAGGTAGGAGGATTGTAAGTTCTAGGCAATCTGGGCAATTTAGCAAGAACCTGTCTTAAAATTAAAAAGGGCCTGAGAATGTAGTTCTCTGGGAGCACTTGCCTACTGTGTATTGGGCACTGAGTTCAAATTCCCATGACACACAAGAAAGAATCCATTTTGGAGTTGATAGATCCCCATAATGCAAACCCATAGTCTTGGCCATGTGATCCAGGTTTGTCTGTCAAAAGGAAGATTTGAAGATGATACTTATTCAGAAGCACTAAAGTCTAAAAACTTGAAAACTACAAACTCAAACGATTATGCCCCAATCAGTTTAATTCAGAATCAAAATGGGCACTTACTGTGTTGGGCACCTGGCCTTGGTGATAGGGAATTTGGAGATAAGAAGACTTATAATTGAGAAGGACACACAGGTCAGAGACACCACAGCCTGTCCACTGTGGGTCTGGCCAAGGTCACTGTTGTATGTGGTCCCATGACTGGAAAGGAAGACAAATTGTCCTCATTATCAAGAGTTGCCCTGGGCCGGGGATTTAGCTCAGTGGCACCATGCCTGCCTCAAAAGTGCAAGGTCCTGAGTTCAATCCCCAGTACCAGGGGAAAAAAAAAATAAAGAGTTGTACTTCTGCTGTTTCCCACCTCTTTCTTACCTAGGGCCCCAAGGTGGAGTTCAGAGATCCCTCGAGTGATATGCGGGATTTTATATGCATGTATTTGTGTTTACTTGGGGGAGGCAAATGGTCCCATAGCTTTCATTAGACTCTCAGAGGAATTTGTGATCCCAAAAGGCTAAGAAAACACTGCCTTTAGAATCTTTGAAGGATAGATTTGAAAGAGGTGGGGCTCATCTGTCACATAGTCTACTTTCCCAGGGATTAAGCTAATGAGTGTTATATCTCTTTTGCAGCCAGGTCTGACTCCAGAGGCTACCTGCCTCATTTTATAACAAATGAGTTTAACTTACGTAATTCTGTATATACATTTCATTTTTAGTCCTTTATCTGCAACTTTAAAATGAAAAATTTTATCGCTTTTAAGTGGTTAAAATTGTCAGCATTTGCTTGCAGATTGGGAAATACACTTGGCCAGAGAGAGTGCTAGAACCACTTTAGGCCTTCTCCACTTGACCCCATACCTCATCTCTTCCCCTTTCTTTTTTTTTTTCTCCCCCTTTCTTAACTTTCAGCTGCCTCTGATGAGGTTCTTTGATCCATTGTATTGTAGTCATTGTGGAATGCTATAGCAAACTACAGATGGTTCCCTACTTAGGGTGGTTTGGCTTATATTATTTCCACTTTATAATAGTGCAAAAGTGATATGCACTTGGTAAAAACTGCACTTCAGGGCTGGGATTTAGCTCAGTGGTTTCACTGCCTGCTGCACAAGTGTAAGGACGCGAGTTAGGTGTATAAAGTACATTTTCAACTTAGGATATTTTCACCTTGCAGTGGGTTTGTTGGGCCATAATCGCATCGTGATTTGAGGAGTATCTCTCCATAAACTGAGTGGCTTGTGAACAAAAAACATTTGTTTCTCACAGTTCTGGTGGTTGGAAATGCCAAGATCAAGGTGCTGGCATATTTGGTGTTTGGTGGGGCCTATTCCTTGTGGATAGTGACTTCTTCCTGTGTCCTCACATGGTAGAAGGGACAAATAGACTCTTGGGGATTCTTGTTTAAGAGCACTAATCACATTTGTGAGGGTCTCAATGATTTGATCACCACTAAAGATGCTGCCACTTAAGTCACAGTCTGCCAAAAAATGTGTACACACTTTAGGAAAAGAAAAACTTGTGTAAATATTTTGTTTTTATTTTATTTTATTTTTTTTCCCCATTAACTTTATTGGTACATTTTAGGTATAAAATACAGTTACA